GTCTTTTCATGTCTCCGCTATGCTGAGGCCTTATCTGCTTTTTTGAGACAGAGTTCACCCTTTGGTCACCCCGCGCGCTTAGATGTGAGTGGCCATGCGGTCAGCCCGCGGCCCTCCATAGCTCACCAGCCAACCTTCAAACTCCTGGGCTCAAGGCGAATTTTCCTATTGCCTCAGCCCTCGGAGTAGCTGGGACTACAGGCCATGCGCCACCATCGCACCGGCTAATTTTTTCCTATTATATATTATTGCAATTTATTTCTTCTCTATTTATAGTAGAGACGGGGTCTGCCTCTTGCTCAGGCTGTTTCGAACTCCGAACCTGGGAGCAATCTGGCCGCTCGGCCTCCCAGATCAGGATACAGGTGTAGCCACCGCGACCCGGCCTGCTTTTGAATACTCGGGCTGAAAGCTCCCTGCTGTTTCTTCCCTGCAGACCCTGCCATCTTGTGTAAGTGTCTTGATTCACTTCCCAACGGCTTTTCCATTTTTATCCTCCCTCCTGCACCCGCAACTCCACCACAGTTATAGGGGACATGCTACATTGAGGCAGGGGTAAAGTATGTTAATAATAAATGATTTGCGAGCACGTTGCAATGTGCCGGGCACTGCCTTGGGTCTCAGGGTGTGAACAAACAAGAGAACAACCAAGCCCGCTCTGCGTGGAGTCACTGATAGCGGAGAAAACAACCAATGGAGGGAACAAGCAAAAAAATGGTCACAACAGTGAAAAACAGGACCTATTAAAAACAGGGCGACCAGTTGGACAATGGCTACTGAGATTAGTGGTCAAGAAGGCCCTCACTGAGGAGGATGACCTTCGTGTCTGGTAAGGAGCAGCCAGTACAGGGTCAGGTAGATGGACGCTTCAAAGGCAGAGGACATGCAGTGCAAAGTGGGATTGAAATTTCTGTTTGAGGAGCAAAAGAGGGCCCATGTGGCTTCGGGCTTGTGTTCCTAGTGACAAGGGAGTCAGGAGAACGTAGGAGAGGAGGATGGGAAATAGGCAGGGCCCCCAAATCTTGATGGGCTTTAAAAATGCTATGTATACTGGGAGAGCCAGCCTGGATCTACCGAAAGGAATTAGTGCTGGGGACAGAATTCCTGGTTAGGAATTTAAGCTCCTCCAACATTTGCAGTGCTACTTGGTAATTAATGACTCCAGGAGGAAGGGATTGCCCCAGAAGACACCCACACTTGATGTCCTTTTATAAAGGAGCCAGGTCACTCTCATTAGATGAGTTGGATTTAACTTACTAATTTCTTCACCTTGTCTCCTGGTGTCTTCCTCATCCAATCAGAAGCTTCCCAGTTTATGACCTAGACTAGTGGTTTTCCCAGTTGGCCTCAGGAACCCCAGGGGTCTCTGAGACCCTTTCAGAGAGCACACAAGATCAAAGCTAGTCTAATAATGTCATGGCATTATTTATGACAGAAGAATATTGAATGACCGTGAAATGGGCAGAAACAAAAACTTCGTGGTTGTCCTGCCTAGCTCACCAAAGTTATCTCTACCTTTCGTCATCTCTGGACTATTTTACAACTCAGTATATTGTAGAAAATTGGTAATAATATAAACGATATAATTCATTTTCATATGAATGTCAATGTTCAGTGGAATACAAATGATCATTGCCCTGTCACTAGTTTTGTATCCATTCAGTAAATTGATTTCTCCTTGAACTAGTTGTAACATCTTACTAATTCTCTCATTGAGAGTTAAATAAAATATTTGAATGTGTACTTTTCATATTTATGTGAGTTATGATTCTATCACTTTTAAAAGAATTGTTCTTAACATTGTTCCTTTTCACCATCATTCTTTTATGAGTATATAGTGGAGTTTTCCTGAGGCAACATATGCCATATTGTGACAGATCGAAGGATAGAGCAGATATGAGAATCTAGTTGTCTTCTATGATGCCAGACATAGATATTTGCAAAAAATTTTAATATACTGCCACACTTCCCATTACATTTTTTGAGAAAATAAAGGTCTTTTTTTTTTTAAAAAAAAGAAAATGTTAATTATGTTAATATGTAATGGGTTTATTTTTAAATAAATATTTTTAATTTTCTACTTTTGTTTCTTCTAGGATAATAAATACAACTCATATAAATAAGAATACTGTAGCGCTCCTCTATAATTTTTTTTTTTTTTTTTTGGGACAGAGTCTCACTTTGTTGCCCAGGCTAGAGTGAGTGCCGTGGTGTCAGCCTGGCTCACCAAGCAACTCTTCAACTCCGGGCTCAAGCAATCCTCCTGCCTCAGCCTCCCGAGTAGCTGGGACTACAGGCATGCGCCACCATGCCCGGCTAATTTTTTCTATATATATCAGTTGGCCAATTAATTTCTTTCGTATTTATAGTAGAGACGGGGTCTGCTCTTGCTCAGGCTGGTTTTGAACTCCTGACCTTGAGGCAATCCGCCCGCCTCGGCCTCCCAAGAGCTAGGATTACAGGCGTGAGCCACCGCGCCCGGCCTGATCCTCTATAATTTTTAAGAGCGACGAAGAGACCCTGGGGAGTTTTGCTGGCTTCAGGAACATGATCTGGTCAGAAAGGCTTTTATTATTTCCTCATGATTTTGACTCCTAATTGGCTTTCACCAGGCTTTTCTCTCCAAATGAGATTCAGAAATTTAAAGAGCAGCTACCAAAATGCCCTTACCTGGAAGATGTGGCGGCTGCAGTTTGAGTTCCAATGCGGGTAATTCACGATTGCAGTCCAAAGTGCCAGGGCGTAATACTTGTAGTGAAAAAAGTAGTTTAAGTTAGAATTATCGCGGACACACGCAGGGAAGGCCAGAAGCAGGGTGTTGCCGGTAAAAAAGGCGGGGGGTTTCTGCCGAGCCTCTTCTTCCTGTTAGACAAGGTTAACACAAACGGAACATAAAAAGAAGGTGTAATCGCCGCCATGTTTTAGGGGAGCACAGGTACCGGGTATCATCATTATGGACCCGGGACTCGGTACTGGCTTGACTTTGAGGCCTGACGCCATTACTGACTAACAAGCACATTAAATTTTTTTTTTTTTTTTTTTTTGAGACAGAGTGCTCACGTTTGTTTGCCCAGGCTTAGGAGTGGATGCCATGGCGTCAGCGTCGCTCACCGCCAACCTCAAACTCCTGGGGCTCGAGCGAGTCCTTCTGCCTCAGCCTCCCCGAGTAGCTGGGACCTAAGGCATGAGCCCCCATGCCGGGGCTAAATTTCTTTTCTATGATATATTAGTTGGGCCCAAATTAATTTCTTTCTGCATGTTGTAGTAGAGGACGAAGGGTCTCGGCTCTTGCTCAGGCTGGTTCGAACTCGGCTGACCTCTAGCCAATGCCCGCCTCGGCGCTCCCAGAGAGCTAGGATTACAGGCTGAGCCACCGCGGCGGCCCAGGCACATTTACAATTTTATGAAGCATGGTTTTCTGGCTTTGATAGAATGGACATAGCACGCTACCTTTATGGACTAATTAAAGATATTTATCACCTGTCCCATGTCAGGTAATGCTAGCTGAAATTTGAAGCTATTTAAAAAGCACATTGGTCAAAAGGCAAACCTTGGAGGGTAAAAGAAAAAATAAAAATAAAAAAAAAATAAATAAAAAAAAATAAAAAAGGCACAGTTGGTATTGCATTCATCACATGCTTGATTCTGATTGACAAACCTATAAGACGGACGGGGAATAATGAACCCCATTTTACACATGGGGAAGGTGAGACTCAGGTTAAGTAATTAACACAAAGTCACAGAGCCAGAATGTGGTGGTGCCAGGACTCAAGCCCGGCCCGCCTCCAGCCTGCCCAGTCCAACGCGGAATTTCCTCCATTGCACGCTGCCTACAGGGGCTGGGTCTCAGCTCAACACAGGCAATGAGCATTTCAAACAATTACATTCCATCAGCGGAACGGAATGTGGCAGGAGGCGGTGAACATGCAGTGCTGGAAGTATTCAAGGAGAGGACGGATGACCTTCCATGAAGAATGTTTGGGTTTTCAGTACCAGTCTCAACAGGCCATTTAACTGATAACGTAGCCCAAAACACCACTACGCGTGTGATTAAGAAACAGGAGCCTCCATAAGATGCTTGCAATATTAGTAATTTAATGAGAAACCAAAGTTTTAACCAAGAAACCAAATTAACCAAATTTGGTTAAAACCAAATTTAACCAAGAAACCAAAACGTAATTAGAAATATGTCTCGAAAGGCAGGCTTAAAATAAAGATGAGAAGGAAACTGGAAAGAGGTATTAGAGATGCTAAAGAATTGCGGGTATTGGCCGGGCGCTGTGGCCCATGCCTGTAATCCTAGCACTCTGGGAGGCTGAGGCAGGCAGATTGCTCCAGGTCGGGAGTTCGAAACCAGCCTGAGCAAGAGCGGAGATCCTTGTCTCTACTATAAATAGAAGAAATTAATTGGCAACTAATATATATAGAAAATTAGCCGGGCATGGTGCGCATGCCTGTAGTCCCAGCTACTTGGGAGGCTGAGGCAGCAGATTGCTTGACCAGGGAGTTTGAGGTTGCTGTGAGCTAGGCTGATGCCACACACTCACCTAGCCTGGGCCAACAAAGTGAGACTCTGTCTCAAAAAAAAAAAAAAAGGGCCGGGCTCGGTGGCTCACGCCTGTAACCCTAGCACTCTGGGAGGCCGAGGCGGGCGGATTGCTCAAGGTCAGGAGTTCAAAACCAGCTGAGCGAGACCCCGTCTCTACCATAAAAAAAATAGAAGAAATTAATTGGCCAACTAATATATTATAATATAAAAAATCAGCCGGGCATGGTGGCTCGTGCCTGTACCAGTGTTCGGGGCTGAGGCAGGAGGATCGCTTGAGCCCAGGAGTTTGAAGTTGCTGTGAGCTAGGCTGATGCCACGGCACTCACTCTAGCCTAGGCAAGAAAGCAAGACTCTGTCTCAAAAAAAAAAAAAAAAAAAAAAAGAATTGGAGGTATTTTAGTTGAGACATTGATGACATTGAGTCTGTTGTGCAAATGAACCTTGTTTAAAGGTTCTAAGAAAACATGAGCAGAGTGAATCACTTCTAATATGGAGCATTCATGAGAGCCATAGACACTCAGACATTAATTGTTGTTTCTTATTGTCCTGATTTTTAAAAATTTTTTTATTTATAAAATTTAAAAATTATAATTTAAATAATTTATATTTAATTAATTTTTTCCCACCCAACATGAACTTTGACTATATCATCCTGATTTTTGAAATGAGAACTTTTGACCTGCAGGTATTTTAAACCAACAGTTCTGCAGTTTTTTCCTCTTCAACACTTTTCTACCTTTTCTCCTTTTACAAAATGTAGTTGCAAACCAGGGTTATCTGATTCAGCAAATGAAAATACAGGATTCTCAGTGAAATTTGAGTTTAAAAACCAATTAATTTCTTAGAATGCATAGGTCCTAGTTTGTGGCATATGTATACTAAAAAAAATTATTCATTATGTAAAATTCAAATTTAACTAGGCATCCTACATTTCATATGGCAACCTTATATGTGCCTCAAAGGCTACGTCCTTCTTACTCTCGGAGAGATCTCTGAACTTCTCCCCGCCCCTTCCTTCTGTGAATAGATGTTTGTATCTTAGGCTGAACCTGTAGGAATATTGCTACTGATCTGTCCCAAGATGGAAGAGATGTCTTTCTCTGTGAGTTCTCCAGATCTCCAGTGAGCTGGCATCTTCCTTGGTATGAATTGCCAGATAGATGGGATTTTTTTAAAGCTTTTATTGTGGAAAAATTCAAACATGCCTGCAGCAAGCCAAAGAGTGTAATGAGCTACAGGAACCCAAACACCTAGTGTAATTGTAACCACAGGAACAGCCCAAACTGGCCCTGCTCTGTTGATTACAGAATATCAAGTTACCTTGCAGGTATAACAGAGCCCAAACTGCAAGTCGTGTAACCCAGGCATGCACAGTAGAAAAAGCTTTGACCTCTAACAACACCCGGAACCAACATTTCCTCCCCATGGAACCAAGAAGACCAGGACGTGGCTGGAACCTGAACGCAGGAACCCTTGCAGAAGCTAGGGTCTGCTGGCCGGGAAAATCCAGGGCTCAAATCTGCCTCAACACACCTTACCATAAATAGTCGAATTTGAAACCTCCAATCAGACCCTGCCAAGCCAACATTTTTAATATTTTCCCTTGCCTTCTAACCCCTTAAAACTCACTCCAGACCCCAAATCAGGAAGACAGATTTGAGTTGCACCTCGTTTCCTTGCTGGTTGGCCTTGCAATAAAACCTTCCTTTTCTCAAAGGCCAGTGCCCTAGTTTAACATCAGCCTCTATGTGCGCCAGGCAGCGGAGCCCATCGCTCTGTAACACCAGCTTCGACAACTATCGACATTCTTATTTCACCTGCCCCTTACTATTTCTTCCTCCTCGTTATTATTCTTTATAGTTCATTTATATGTAAAATGTACACACACTGAACTGCACAAATCTTAACAGTACAATTTTGACTAATGGATACCCCCAATGTGATCCACGTCCTTAGGAAGACACAATAGATGGGTGGGGAGTTTTGTCCTTTGGCAGATGTCTTCGGGGCGAGCTATTCTTCTGTGAGGCAGGGGCAAAAACTGAGTATCTCAGCACTGAATGGAAGGGGGCTTGTGACTGAGGCTCCAGGAGCAGGTGGAAGAGGCTCCAGCCAGAACATAGATGGAAGGGGGCTAAACGGGCTAGATGAGTAGGAAAGGGCACCGGATCTCACCTTGCAAAGGGGGGGGGCCCTTATGTTCCTGTCATCTGAACTGCCTTTGGCAAAAGCTGCCCGTAAAGGGCTTGAGGGCAACCCCGCCCTGGCCTAGGGGCACCTTCCCCCCCACCCCCAGTAAGTGGTCTGAGCCAAGCCAGGTTGCGCTTCTTTGCGCCCCCTAGTGGCTCAGGCTTGGGTGCCTGGCTGCGGGGCTGTGTGTGGTCTCTCTCCTCTGGGCAAGATGAGACACTCAGCTCTCCCCACCTCCTTCTCTTACGGTGGAGGGGCGCTCTCCTGGGCCTGCTGATTCAAATAGTGAAAGTGTCTGTTTTTCTCAACATGGGTGTGGAGAAACACGGAGACTAAGCTGTAAGGAAAGACTCGGTTGAGGAGCTTCAGTGCCTTCCGCAGCATTTTCTTGGCCAGCACCATCTGGCCCATATTGAAGCAGACCTACGGGAAGATGGGAGGGGAAGAGGAGAAAAAAGGAAAAGCAATGATTCTGGACTTAGTGGGTTCCAACACTACATATTTTAGGGACTCTTATAAAAAAATTTAAAAAAAAAAGTAATTTATGGCCAGAAACAAAATCCTCCCGTGCCTGGCGTAATGGCAAATGCACGCCATGAAGGGCGGTTGAAAGAATGACTAGGACGGAGCATCGTAGTCGTGCAGCATCCACCTCTGAGGAAACGTTTACCCATTCACGTTCAGCTTCAGAGGTTGTTGCAAAAACATAAAGGTGTTAAGCTGGAGGACAGGGAGGATCTTGCTGCTGCTGGTCAGCGATGGTAGGGGGTTTGAGTCCAGGGGCTTGGGGTTCTAGAGTCTTGGGTAGGAATCTGTGGCAGAAGATGGGAACAGGTTGTAGGGAGTACAGGGATGACTTTGATGGAAAGGCCTAAGACAAGTAACAGATTAATGCATGTCTTTAATGGTTTCTTACCTCACCTTTGAGGCTATAAAAGGTGGCAGACTCAAACGTCTGATTCCAAGATTTTTCCTTCTTGAGAATTTTCAGCAGCCTCTCTCCCTCATTCAAATATATGTATGCCTGCAACCAGCCCAAAGAGTAGAAAAGTGTTGAGCTGGCAGGGACTGAGAGAGACTACAGAGGGGCCAATGTCCCAGACCCTACTGAGGGTGGAGAAGCAGGAGCCACTCCCGTTACCACCTCCAGGGATTAGAATGGGCTTCCCAAGTGTAGGCAGGAGCTGGATGGGTAAAGCCCCCCACCCTCACGCCAGCCTTTGCGGGATCACTCAATCATGAATCTAGAAATCTCCACCTGAATCTAGAAATCTCCACCTTTCCTTACACTATCACAGGAGTTGCTTTACCTGAAGTTTCCCTCAGGGCAATGACCTTGCCCCAGGGTAATTCCATCCTGACCTCCCAGTTTCCAACAACGTACCCACTGCCCTTGAGACAACACCCCCACATCTCTGAGGAGCTGGTCTCCACTTTTAGTTGAGTTATGAATCGCTCCCATTTCCTTTGCCAGGGCCATCTTTGGGAGGTGGCGGATGAAGGCAAGGCCCTAAGCAATTCTCCTCACTTCATCTTCAACCTCCCGAAGTCATGAGACAGGTGAATCTTGGCATATGTGAACACCAAGGCAAGATCAGACTTGGAGGATAAAATAAGATGAGGCAATCCCTCCCAGTCCCATGAGGTGTAAGGGGTATGTGTGGGAGGCAGAAAGAGGGAGACTCGATGAGTCGGCTGCCAGCCCCAGGCCCACCAGATTTTCTTTGATGGAGAAGGGGCACAAAGGGCACATCCTGGGGCCTTGCACAACCGCTCTGCTTCCAATCATTGTCTTCCTGATCGTTCAGCACTCCACGGTGAATGAAATGGGCACGCACAGCTTATAGAAAGTTGGCCCCCAGGGCTACCTAAGCCTCCCCTTCCTGGGACTCACTGGCCACATCTCCACTATCACCCCAAATGTGCATGAAATATGTAGGAGATCTTCATTCTTTTTTTTTTTTTGAGACAGAGTCTCACTTTGTTGCCCAGGCTAGAATGAGTGCCGTGGCATCAGCCTGGCTCACAGCAACCTCAAACTCCTGGGCTCAAGCGATCCTCCTGACTCAGCCTCCTGAGTAGCTGGGACTACGGGCATGCACCACCATGCCCGGTTAATTTTTTCTCTATATATTAGTTGGCCAATTAATTTCTTTCTATTTATAGTAGAGATGGGGGTCTCGCTCTTGCTCAGGCTGGTTTCGAACTCCTGACCTCAAGCAATCCGCCCGCCTCAGCCTCCCAGAGTGCTGGGATCACAGGCGTGAGCCACCGCGCCCGGCCCTCATTCTTAACATAAATACTTTAGAAAACCTGGCCTTACTGACATTTTTAATAGTTTAATTTAAAAACTTTATACAAATCTAAAGTATGAGGGTGGACTAGGCTGCTGTGATCAACAGCAGCTGTAAAATAGGAACGAGACTACCAGTGTGGGCATGATGGACTACAGACATGGCTACTCAGGCGTGTTCAACTCTTCCTGAAGCTGGCTGGAGTCGGATGAGGCTCAGCCCAGAAAAACATTTCCTCCAGCGAGTTCATGGAAGGTTGGTCCAGCCAGCTGTTCCACGAAAAGTGATCTAAGGGCAAATAAGTTTGAGAAACACAGTCTGTGCCTTAGCGTAGCCTGACCTTTCTTTACCTGCCTCCATCCTCTGGGAGATTTATATGTATCTTAGCATATAAAAGGCCCTGAAATAGGTACAGTAAAGAATTCTATTTAGCTGTATTCAGCTGGGTGCTTTCTAACTTACTTAGCAATACATTCTTTTTTATTTCATTGTGTGTATCAAATCCCCATGTTTCTAGGGACATATTGCCCTGGAACCTTATAACTATCCTGGAGAAACATTCACTAGTGCTTTGGTGGTCTAAAGGTGTGTGTGATAACCCGGCACAAATTGCTGTGAAGATGGAAGTGGGTGAGCCTCTTTGGGGTCACAAGATTAAAATGAGAATTGCATCCATCGAAAGACATATAGGTATTTTATGCTCATAAGGGACAACGGAGGGCAAATGCCACTGGGGCCTTACTGAGGAAGACTAAAACTGAAGCATTGATACTAAAAGTCCTCTCTGCATTGATTTGGGAATGAGACGAGACCCCTTCCTTCCCATACTGGCAGGCTATTCATGGCAAATTTCTAAAAGTGACAATATTTTAAGTAATGTATACTGCCAATTACAATTTGTTCCACCTCTGTTTTCTCAATCTCAGGTCATTTCCCTTCTGGGTAATTGATTTTCAAGTGAAAGGGGTGGTGGCAGGAATCAAGAACATGAAATGGGCCGGCCACGGTGGCTCATGCCTGTAATCCTAGCACTCTGGGAGGCCGAGGCGGGCCGATTGCTCGAGGTCAGGAGTTTGAAACCAGCCTGAGCAAGAGCGAGACCCCGACTCTACTATAAATAGAAAGAAATTAATTGGCCAACTGATATATATATAAAAAATTAGCCAGGCATGGTGGTGCATGCCTTGTAGTCCCAGCTACTTGGGGAGGCTGAGGCAGGAGGATTGCTTGAGCTCAGGAGTGTGAGGTTGCTGTGAGCGAGGCTGATGCCACGCCACTCACTCTAGCCTGGGCAACAAAGCGAGACTGTGTCTCAAAAAAAAAAAAAGAACATGAAATGTAGAAAAGGTACACCAGAGAGCTTCCCTTCTTGCTCTGTGGTCTATGAGTCTCTCTGGGGTGGCGGAGGTCTGAGAAGCAACAGCTTACCATATAGTTATCACCCAAGATGAGATAAGCAGATGCAATTTCTAAGAAGTAATATAAGGCTTTGTTGTTTTCTTCCAAAGCCAGAAAATGGTAGGCCAGAGGCAAAATGACAATCTCTAGGGTTTCCTCACACTGGCAAGATTCCAGAGGGATGATGTCTTCCTCAGATGTCCTCATTTTTGTTATAATAATGTCTAAGAAATTCAAGATCTTTTCTCTTATTTGTCCCGGACTGTCCAAATGCAGAAATAAGTAGAAGTAATAACTTGTAGATATAGCATAGCTTTTGATAAGAAAATATCTTTAAAAACTAATAAAAGAGCAAGGTACTAAAACCCAATTCGGATAACTTCTGTCCAAACTCACCATGCACACCCCCCAAATTTTTCCCACTTGTACCTAAGAGGCCAAAACTACTGACTGACCAGACAAATTATCCTAATGGTGTTTTTTTTTTTGTTTGTTTTTATTTTGAGACAGAGTCTCACTCTGTTGCCAGGGCTAGAGTGCCATGGCATCAGCCTAGCTCACAGCAACCTCAAACTCCTGGGCTCAAGCAATCCTTCTGCTTCAGCCTCCCGAGTAGCTGGGACTACAGGCATGTGCCACCATGCCCGGCTAATTTTTTCTATATATATTAGTTGGCCAATTAATTTCTTTCTATTTTTAGTAGAGACTGGGGTCTCGTTCTTGCTCAGGCTGGTTTCAAACTCCTGACCTTGAGCAATCCTCCTGCCCTTGGCCTCCCAGAGTGCTAGGATTCCAGGCGTGAGCCACCTCGCCCGGCCCCTAACAATGTTTTGAATTTAATGACAGCTGTTTATGCTCTACTTCCTAAATGATTATGTATGTCCATACCTGGCATTTTCCGGAAACAACTCAGATCTCTTATAAAACTCTGTTTTGGAAAAGGTAATGTCTTCTTCAGCTAGAAAATAAGTAAACTAATTAGTTGTACGGATCATTGAACTGTTCTCTATGATGAAGATATCTGGTATCTACCAAAGATTCTTGTTCCCTTTTCATGATATGTAGTTTTTGCTGCCCAGCCAGGAACTGCACTTCCCAGTCCCCATTGCATCTTAGGTCAAGTCAGGTAATTAGTTCTCACAATGAAATTAGATCAGAAGTGATATGTCACCTCTGGGCTGAGATGTTTATGTGTCTTCTCTGTCCTCTCCTTCAACAAGAAAACAAATAAATCTAAGGACCTAAAGAATATCAAAACCACAGTTGGGGGGAGCCTGGATCCCTTACTAACTGTGTGCAAAGCCATTTGTCAAAACTTTCATTGTTTATTACGTAAGCAGGAAATAAACTATCATTCTAATGTGTTAACCCATAAAAATGTTGGGGTTTGTTATAGCTAATAACATTATCCTAACTAATTTACGCTACAATAATGAAAATTAGGAATGAACAATCCTGAAGATAGTGACATCAGTTTCTAGCAGAGAAATATACAGACACTTAAACGAAATACCCTCGAAAGGCTAACTAAAGGGCAGAGAATCTTGAATTTAAAACCTTCAGTTTAACCAGACTTCAACAGGTTAGAAAATTCCATGATGATTTTAAAATAGAAAACAAATGGAGGGTCGTCTAATGCAGCCATTTCTCCATTCGGGAAGAAGAAAGAATCCTGGAGAGGGGAGGAACTTGTCTCAGATCACGTATCCGCTAGTGGTGGAGGTAAGACTAGACCCTCAGTCTTCTGGCTTCAAGGCTAATGCATTACTCCATAGATCTTTTAATTTCTAGAAATGTAGTTTGAACATCTAAGAAGTTATCACCCTCTTCTGAAAGCCTTCTGTACCCTTGCCCCGTAGAATAAGTGCCCCAACTCATGTGTACCCATCAATTCCGCCCAGACCTCTATCATAGTCCTCATCACACCATATAGTGATCAATTCGCCCACCTGTTCCCCTAGACTACAATTTATTGTATTCTTAGTGACTAAAACCTGAACATATTGAACTATGCCTCTGTCCCACTACTCCTCTGTCAGAACTGCTCCTGTCAAGGTTACCAGTAGCCACCATCTTGCCAAATCCAAAGGGTAAATCTTTGTCTATGTTTTATTACACCTGTAGCAGCATTTAATACAAGTGACCACTCTCTTTTCCCTGGCTCTTGTAACACACATTCCCTTTGCTCCCTTCCTCACTGGCTGCCCACTTAGCTGGCTTCTATTCCTTTACCGACACTCTAAACATGGGTAAGCCTCACTGTGGTCCTGGGCTCCCTTCTCCATCCACAGTTTCTCCCTAGGTAATTTCATCTGCCCATGACTTTAAATTCCACCTATATGCCAATGACTTTCAATTTTATACCTCTACGTCCTGACATCTACTTTAACTACAGTCCCGTATATCCAAATACCTCCTTGGCAACTGCTACTTGGATTCATAACAGGCATTTCAAAATGAACATGGTCCAAACAAAACTCTTTAATCTCCTCTCTGTAAACCTACACCCACTTACATCTTTCCTATCTTAGTAAGCATCACTGCCATTTATCCATTTTCTCAAACCAAAATCGTGGGGCACAGCTTTGATTCTGTTCTTTCCCTCACCCCATCCCCATTCAATCCACCAGAGAAAGTTCCCAACTTTGAATGTGCCCCAGAATTATCTGACTGCATCTCTTCTGTCCATCTTCGCTATACACCACCCTAGTCCATTACAGAAAGTTTATCTGGACAACTGCAAAATGCTGATCTCCCTGCTGTTCTTTTCCTTTCAATCTGTTTATCTAGATAAGACATAGTAAGTTTTCAAAAACATTATTCAGATCTCTGTGGCAGAAACTGCTGGTTTCCCATCCCAGTCACCATTGTCCTTTTTCTCCTTAGTAAGAGAAGTCAATTTTATCCAGGACAGCTACATTCTCCTGCCTGCCTTGCAACTAGCTGTGGTCATGTGACTAAGTTCTGGCCAATGGGATGTAAGAGGAAATATCAGGTAATACTCCCAGAAAATTCCTTAAAAGGGAAGGCGCATCCCTTTAATTTTTTGGCTTCTTTCTCCTTCCTGTGGCAATAAATGTGAACATAATCGTTGGACCTCCTGTAGCTGTTTTGAACCAAGACCCCTGATGATAATGAAGCCTCCATGCTAGTCCTAGGCATGAGACAAGCACTTGACACAAGAGAGAAATAAATTTAATAGTAAATGAAGTTAAGCCACTCTAGTTGGGTTCTTGTTATATGCAGCCAACACTAATCCTAATCAATACCTCTCCAATGTGTTCCAATTCACGTACAATGAAATTCTAGGTCTACAAGGTCTATAACATCTACAAGGCCCCTTGATGGTTTTATTAGTTAATCTGTGTATTGTCTGTCACCTTCCACATGTCTATCATTTTCACAAATAGAACCCCAGTATCTGGATCACTACCCGGCATGATGGATGCTCAGCTAATGTTTGTTGCACTAATACACATTTGTTTGAGAAGAAATCAGTTACTAAAAACAAAATATTGTTCCTCCTCTAACATCCTGTGTATTTTCCATGTTTATAATTGTAATGGTGATAGAATGAGTCGTAGAGATTGGATGGATAAAGCAAATAGAGTCAGGGTGTACAGCTATGTGCCTTGTCATAGCCTTAAACCCTTGTGGGAATGATATTATTTTTGGTTCTCAATTTTCTCCATTTACAAAGCATATATTACCTTAAGAGTTCTCTACTACAAGGAGGATCTGTAAAAGCAAAAATAAATAAATAAAAATAAAAAGATACAAAATGCTTGTAGGTTCTCAGAAGAAAAGAGAAAAGCAAAGATATCACCTGCTCACCCCACGGTTCCAAAGACCTAGAAATGAGACTTTAGGTTTAAGGTGTCAGACTGACCTCTTGTGCTCACCTTCTGTCTCCCCAGGACCAGGACATTTTATCCCATTAAATGAGAATAAGATGATTTTATTTTATTTTTTTCTTATACTTCACAGAATGATGTAAAGATGATTTTTTTCAAAGCATAAACCCACGATGCGTAGGATGGAAGGGGTCGTACTCATGAGCTACGGTTGTTGCACTAGCTAACCCCTCTGCCTAGAATACTCCTCCCAGCCACCTGCAGAACAAAACCCCCTACTTCCTCTGTCCCTATGTGACTCTTACTTCCCCAGGAAGGAGAGAGCCCTGCTTTAGTGGTTTTGCACTCCTAATCCTTCTTGCCCTACCCAACGTTCTTTTCTGTTTTTCTCCAGGGGATGTAGCACTTATAAAAAATGATACTTCTTTATTATGTTTTTTTCTCCACTGTCTACTTTTCCCCAATAGAATATTGTGTTGGGCCGAGCATGGTGGCTCATATCTGTAATCCTAGCACTCTAGGAGGCAGAGGCTGGTGGATCATTTGAGCTCAGGAGTTCAAGACCAGCCTGAGCAAGACCAAGACCCCTGTCACTAATAAAAATAGAAAGAAATTACTTGGACAGCTAAAACTATACAGAAAAAATTATCTGGGCATGGTGGCATATACCTGTACAACAACTACAACAACTCTGTAGTTCCAGCTACTCGGGAGGCTGAGGCAGGAGGATCGCTTGAGCCCAGGAGTCTGAGATTGCTGTGAGCTAGGCTGATGTCACAGCACGCTAGCCTGGGCAACAAAATGAGATGCTGTCTCGAAAAAAAAAAAAAAATAGAATACAGTTTTGTTCACTGATGTATCTCAGGTGCCAAGAGCAGTGAGCAGGGCCTGGTATACAGTAGGGACTCAATAAATATTTGTTGAATGAGTAAACGACATGTTGATTGAAATTTCAACACACTTCTGGAAGATACGGGGGTGAGAAGCGTGGTCACTGATGAAGTAGGAGGAGGAAGCTGAAGGAGAGAGCCCAGGAGGGCTGTAAATCCTTGAAATGGATCAAGACTCAGAAAATAACGTGGTTCCCCCCTACACACACACTGGAACCTATTTCAAACTAGACCAACAAAGCAATAATGTCCTTGCCTGCCAAAAACACCACTCCCTGGTGGATTTTTGCTTTTGCTCCTACTTCATCATTTCAGACTGCGTCCCCCCAAGCCCCTTGGATTCCATCCCTTGGTGTGAATTCAGTGGGACATTTTAATGTGAGCTCTGGTTGCACCCCGTTCCGTCAGAACCCCTATCCCCAAACCCTCCCTGGCAGTCTCACGGTGACACTGGCTCTGCTAGACTTAGCCGCAGGTGCACGCCCAGCGCTCCCCTTCGCCAGCGTCCTGCGCTGCTGGAGTCCCATCTTCCTTGTGCCCAAGCCCTCAGGGGACTGGAACCCCTTAGGGTCCAGATCCACTCTTTCTAGATCCCAGTCTCCAGACTTCCCAAGGATAGTTAGGATGAATTAAAAATGAAGTAGGCTTACTTTCAAAGCCGCAGGACCTGGCCATCTTCTTAATGGTATCCATGTCCAGTGTGTTGAGCCGAATGTCCACGATGAAGTGGTGATAGGGAATGAAGTCCCCGTTTCCGCAGTAGTCACATTTGTGGGCATTGTCTTCTAAGAAGCGGGCACATTTCAAGTGCATGGCTTTCTTTTGGTCTTTGAGCCACAGCTCAGAGGCTGTCTTCTGCATCATAGGCCTACAGAACCGAATGATGTGGCACTCGATCACCTCACTTTCCAGTTCATGAAGCTCGTCATCTTCACCATGAACTAGAGAGGAGAGAAAGGGGTTTTCAGCCAGGCGGTGAGCGACAGATCAGTCCCTGCTGCCTAACGCAGATCAATTATTTTTACCTAGATGTGCCTTTAGGAGGAAATACGGGTCACTTCCAGGTGCTACTCACCCATCCCTTCACTGGGCTTCAGAGACAAGGAGCGATAATGCACCTTAAATGAGGCCACGTTTTGTTTCAGGGCCATTCGAAGATCCTTGCCACTCCGGAAACAATCAAAAATGTTAGATTCCACTAGGCTTGCCAGGGCCTTGATCATCATCTTCATGTTCCAACAAGGGAGAATCTCAAACAACAGCTCTGTAGTGAAGGTCAGGCCAACGATGGCTGCACATCTCACCAACATTTGGTAGGAAAGGCTCATGCTATCCAGCTGGACCAGAGAGATTTCTGCAGGTAGAAAGCCACACAGTAGGAAACTAGTTATCTGTCTTTATCAAATACCCTCCCGAGGTGGACTGGACAGCCATCCTGTTCTGTAGTTCTCGTTCACAGAAACCTAGCCGGGCTAAATCAAAAGGAGTATTTGTTTACTATCCAGTTCATAGATAGCACTTGTGCTGAGAGTACAAAAGATGGAGATGTTACAGTCTAAAAAGACACATGGCGCAATGATCAGACAAAAAAGAGGATTGATTTCATGGTGTTCTGGTTTTGTGTTAAAGTGTGACAAAGGTGTAAGAGGCCAGTAGAGGTCACTGCAGGCCACACTAGTCTGAGGAGCAGGGCCTACCATATAGGGCCCTTTGTTGACATCCCCAGCTGGTCTTTTTCTATCTTTTCCCCTGGCTCCTCTTTCTCCTGGAAACTCCTGGCAATAAGGCTTCTCTCTGTCTACCCCTGAGGTTCACTCATTCTCACGATGTACATTATCATCGCTATGCCATGACTAAGTTTCAGAGGGCTCATAGCTCCTATCTCAACTTCTCATCTAAGCTTAAGTATCATAGCTCATGAGGCTTCCTGGACATTTTGACCAGGATGTCCCTCCATTAGGGACAAAATCTGAACTTCTCAACTTGCCCATAGAACTCAGTAGAAGCTAAGCTAGTCTACCTCTTACTTTTTAGCAGGCACAGTGAATGAAACACAAATGAGGCTCTTTTGGAGGCTGAGAACCTTCAGGTATCCTGAGGTCATCCTTTCTAGACATTTAAAGTTACTTATGGAATGGCATGAATTGGAGCTGAATGCATACTAGAACATTCCTTGAAAGTCATTTTTCTTTAAAAGACTAATAATACATCTTTGATATAAACTCCCTTGGTCTGTCATTTCTCATAAAAGTAGATGGCAGAAAATGTCTCAGTATTAGCTTTCTCTCCCTTATTATTTGGTTTCTGTTTAATTCAAAATGTACTATACCTCATTGTTGTACGCAGTAGAATAAACCTTTGTTCAAATCAGATCCCAGAATATGCAGGGGGAAGGTGGCTTCTAGTTAGAAGAAAAGCCAAGCCTACCAAGGAACCTTCCTACTCCCTCAGGCAACACAAATCAAACAACCAATCTATGTTACCATTTTTTCCCCCTTTTTAGATAGTCATCCTAGAGAAAGCAAAAGTGGAGTCTAGAGACTGGAAAATAAATATCAGGTCAAATTTTCTTACCTTTTAATGATGCTGGGGGTGACAGGTTTTTCAGTCTGACACCACTTACAAGGTTACAGACTGCTTTCATTCCCTCCTCATCAGGGAAACTAAATGTTTTCAATTCCTCTGTTGGCTTAGTGAAATAATCTGTAGGAGAATAAGGGAAGCAAAGTTGAGTCCTTATCCTGTCTTATAAGGTTCGATTTTCCAATCATCTTTGAGATGTATCCCATGTGAGAAATGGTGGCCAGAAACGTGTGTTGGCTCACCAGATATTCTGGGATATCTTGGTTTAAGTAAAACCGATATATGAAAGTCTAGATTGAGGCCAGGCGTGGTGGCTCACACCTGTAATCCTAGCACTCTGGGAGGCCGAGGCGGGTGGATTGCTCAAGGCCAAGAGGTCGAAACCAGCTTGAGCAAGAGTGAGACCCTGTCTCTACTAAAAATAGAAAGAAATTAATTGGCCAACTAAAAACATATAGAAAAAATTAGCTGGGTGTGGTGGCGCTTGCCTGTAGTCCCAGCTACGTGGGAGGCTGAGGCAGGAGAATGGCTTGAGCCCAGGAGTTGGAGGTTGCCGTGAGCTAGGTTGACACCACGGCACTCTAGCCCAGGCAACAGAGTGAGAATCTGTCTCAAGAAAAGAAAGAAAGTCTAGATGTACTCAAAAATGTTTTGTCTCCCTCCACCCCAACCCTGCCCAACAAAAAGGATTGGCATCAACTATTGATGTCTTCCATATGATGTAAAGTTTGACAAAAAAATTTGATTCACAGATCATCAGGATGTCTGTCTTACAGCACACAGTACCATATAGTTGTGTGCACATCCACGTACCTACACTCGGATACAAACACGTTCTGTGGGGGACTAATGAGGACACGGCTGCTATCAGAAAGAGATGTGTAAAAAGGTGAGGTTTGACCCAGTAATTTGGTCTCCTGGTACTTTATTTATTTATTTATTTTTGACAGAGTCTCACTCTGTTGCCCTGGCTAGAGTGCTGTAGCGTCAGCCTAGCTCACAGCAACCTCAAACTCCTGGGCTCAAGCAATCCTGCTGCCTCAGCCTCCCGAGTAGCTGGGACTACAGGCACGCGCCACCATGCCTGGCTACTTTTTTCTATATATATATATTAGTTGGCCAATTAATTTCTTTTCTATTTATAGTAGAGACGGGGTCTCGCTCTTGCTTAGGCTGGTTTCTAGCTCCTGACTTTGAGCAATCTGCCCGCCTTGGCCTTCCAGAGTGCTAGGGTTATAGGCGTGAGCCACCGCTCCCGGCCTCCTGGTACTTTAAAATGCATTATTTATCTATCCCTTCGCTCACTCAAGTAGCATTTGGTAGCTGCAAGATGCTGTGATAGATGAGGTGGAGATATAAAGATGAACATAGCCAGGTTATCATTTCCTGGAGACATAAGTCACATACACAAACAGCAGGACTGCCAGGCAGTCAGTGAGCGCCGCGTGGCTGGGCACAAACAGGAAGCATCAGAGAGTTCACATCGATACAGGATGTATTTATTATGGACTTTTTGTGCATCGTGCCGGATGAAGGCTGTGAATGTGAATAATGTGTGCTTCCAGCCCTCAAGGGGCATAAAATCTGTGGTGGCAGGTATATAAGTAATTAACCATAACACCAGGGAAAATAGCATGTTGTGGGAACAGACAAGAACAATTAATTCCGACTTGGTGGATTCAGAAAGGCTTCATAGAGGAGGAAGTATTTTGGTTGATCCTTGAAAGACAAAGGGATATTATATTTCGAGGGGGAAAAGAGAGGGGAGAGCAATGCAAAGGCACAGAAGCCCGGAGTACTTAGCAGTCAGGGGCATGTGAGTGGATGGGTGTGGCTGACACGAGGTGCCTGGCCCGCTGGAGCGCCACTGTGGGAGATGTATCTAGGGACCCCATTTGGGAGCAGTGCCCGGAAAGCATTTAACAGCACATTAGGAATATAGGACTTTATAGACAATCAAGATCACAGGGTTCTGAAGAGAAAATGGTAGTAATCCAGCCAACTCTTTTTAGGAAGGTAACACTAGAAGCAGCCTGTGGGGGAGGCCAGAAAATAGAATAGGGAAGGCCATGTAAGAAAACCGTAACAGTGGAGTACCAAGAAGTGAGGATGGATAGAGCCAGGCATGTCATGCAGCAAGGAGAAAGCAAATATTAAAAATATTGAAGAAATGGGGGCTAAGCAAGATAGCGATGGAAGTGAGAGAGACATGAATGAAGCCACTGATCAAGCTAGGAAGTACAGTTGGGGAGGGAGGAGGATGCATGAAGTTTTAGCTGTGTTCAGGTCAAGGGTCCATGGGTCTGGAATTAAGAGTGAGGTTAGGGTTGGAGATCACACACACACACACACACACACGCACACGCACAGGAGGCCTGGGGAATAGATGAATAAATGAAAACAACTGGGGAGACAGTACCGAACTAACAGAAAGAGAGGTTTAAGGATAGAATTCAAAGAGTGCCCTCAGAGCAGGAGTAGACTGAGGCAAGAGCAGCACAAGACTGGCCAGGGAGGTCGGGGAGGGGAGCAGGAAGAAGGTGGAGCAGGGAAACCGAGGGAGGGCAGCATGCCAGGAAAGGGGCCGGGTGTGAGTGTGAGTGTGTGTGAGGGTTGGGGGTGAGAGGGTGGGGTGCGAGGGTATGAGGTGGTCCATGCCCTTTGATGCCTTTTAATTTCCTTTTCCAGGACCTAGCACTGCCACATCCTTTCCGTCACTCAACCAATCCCAACTCAGTGCCTCTAGGGCACTCTAGATCATTCTAGAATTGGGGATTCAGGAGAGTACAAGACTCGCTGCTCTCAGGGAGCTCACATCCTAACAATGGGAGGCAGACAATACACAACAGATAAATAAGCTAATAGGATAACCTCATAATGTGATTCAGTTGTGTGAAAGACATAAAAGAGTGACAGACACTGTGTGTACTCTACTCAAATTTCACCTATGGTTAACCTTCGGCCCAATTTGCTATCTCATTTGTCTTCTCTATATGTACATATTTTTTCTGAAGCATTTGAACATAAATTTTATGCATCACACCCTTTCCCCCCAAACATGTTACTCTGTATTTCTTAAAAATAACAACATTCTCTGAAATAACCAAACTAGAGTGTACTTATCATTTTTAAGAAATTTAACATTGATATAATACTTTATTGTCCACATTCCAATTTTGTCAGTTGACCCAATAATGTCTTTTTAACATTGTTTTTTCTTCCAAGATAGAATCCATTCTAGGATTATATAATGTATTTAGTTTTTTTTTTTAATTGAAGTGAAGTTCACATAACATACAACTAACCATTTGAAAACATATAACTAAGTGGCATTTAGTACATTCACAGTATTGTGTAACTAGCACCTCTCCTTAGCTTCAATTTTTTTTCAATACCTTAGAAGACACTGAAGGGTGTTAAATAGGGGAGACACCCAATTGTTTTTTTTAAATGCTCATAACAGACGCTGAATAAATGTTTTGTTGAATGAGTAAACAAATGAATGCATAAAATGTAGGAATAGTATTGTTCTATCTACGGTATTTATATTCACATATTTCCTTCCCTTAATTCATTGGCTAATATAATATAATGGAATTATTTTGTCTAAAAATAATGATCAGGCAGGGCGCGGTGGCTCACGCCTCTATTCCTAGCACTCTGGGAGGCTGAGGCGGGTGGGCGGATTGCTCCAGGTCAGGAGTTCGAAACCAGCCTGAGCAAGAGCGAGGCCCCATCTCTACTATAAAAATAGAAAGAAATTAATTGGCCAACTAAAAATATATGTAGAAAAAATAGCGGCATGGTGGGCGCATGCCTGTAGTCCCAGCTGCTCAGGAGGCTGAGGCAGGAGGATTGCTTGAGCCCAGGAGTTTGAGGTTGCTGTGAGCTAGGCTGAACCACGGCACTCACTCTAGCCTGGCCAACAAAGTGAGACTCTGTCTCACAAACAAACAAACAAACAAACAAAAAAACCAAAACAACAACAACAAAAAAACCCAGCATCACTATT